GCAGTTGAAATGTACAATAATATACTTCTAATCACACTCCCAAATGCCTAAAATTAAAAAGAGATAACACTGATGTTAATGAGGATGTGGGAAGCATCAGGCACCCCTGCAACTGCTAGTGAGAGTGTAAGTCAGCACAGCTTTGGAAAACAAATCATTATCTATAAAAGCTGAATATACGCATGGCTTTGACCTGGCATTTCCACCCCTAGTTATATATGCAACAGAAATGCATGCAGAGTCACAGCAAGAGACTGCACAGAAATGTTCATACATTATGCTTATAATAGCCCCAAACTGGAAACAGTCAAAATGGACATCAATAGAGTAGATGAACAGACAAGAGAATGGATGAATATTCCTACCACAAAATGTATTCATAGTACAGCAGTGAAACGAACAAATCACAGCTACATGAGAGGTGAGGAAATCTCACAAGCAAGGTGAGGCATAAGAACTCAGATACAAGTGAGTAAAACTGTATCATTCTATTTATGCAGTTGAACAAATAGGAAATATAAAAATAGTGTTAGGAGTGAGGATAGTGGTTAGATTTGGAGGAAGAATACAATGATTGGACCAAGGCATGGAGGGTGATTCTGGGTGCTGCAATGTTCTTGTTCTTGACCTGGATCAGGTTACACTGTTGCTTGCTTTGTGGTGATTTACTGTGCTGTACGATGTTTGTTGTGTGCACCTTTCAGAATGGCAATAAACATATATCTTGGGTTGGATTTTTTTTTAAGGCATTGGATGTAAGGGCAGAAAAAGAAAGTGGGTATCTCCCTATCATTTCCAGTTTCCAATCACAATCAGATAGCTCCAGGATGTCTGAATAAAGGCAAAGAGGCACTCCCTTTGGGAACAAGCTGACCACGAATACCCTTTCTATGCTTATTTTTGGAAGATTACAAAATAACACAAGCACATTATAGAAGATTAGACATGTATAGTAAAATTTGAAAAAGCAGTAATTTTAGTGTCTTATCAACCAGAAGCCATCACTGCTCACAATTTGATTATTTCCTTTTAGATTTTTTCTTTGCATTTTTCTATGCTTGTCATCCTATAATAGTTTAAAAAAATCAACCTTTTTTCTTTCCTTTGTGAATTGAATACTTTATTCAAAATCTATACACATAGCCGAGAATAAATTGTAGCTTCTCCAGAGGTACTCTTTTTTTTTAACATTTTTTATTGATTTATAATCATTTTACAATGTTGTGTCAAATTCCAGTGTAGAGTACAATTTTTCAGTTATACATGTACACATATATATATTCATTGTCACATTTTTTTCTCTGTGAGCTACCATAAGATCTTGTGTATATTTCCCTGTGCTTTATAGTGTAATCTTGTTTATCTATTCTACAATTTTAAAATCCCATCTAACCCTTCCCACCCTCCACCCCCTTGGCAACCACAAGTTTGTATTCTATGTCTATGAGTCTATTTCTGTTTTGTATTTATGCTTTGTTTTTCTTGTTTTTGTTTTTTAGATTCCACATATGAGCGATCTCATATGGTATTTTTCTTTCTCTTTCTGGCTCACTTCACTTAGAATGACATTCTCCAGGAGCATCCATGTTGCTGCGAATGGTGTTATGTTATCAGTTTTTATGGCTGAATAGTATTCCATTGTATAAATATACCACTTCTTCTTTATCCAGTCATCCATTGATGGACATTTAGGCTGTTTCCATGTTTTGGCTATTGTAAATAGTGCTGCTATGAACATTGGGGTGCAGGTGTCATCCTGAAGTAGGGTTCCTTCTGGATATAAGCCCAGGAGTGGGATTCCTGGGTCATATGGTAAGTCTATTCCTAGTCATTTGAGTAATCTCCATACTGTTTTCCACAGTGGCTGCACCAAACTGCATTCCCACCAGCAGTGTAGGAGGGTTCCCCTTTCTCCACAGCCTCTCCACCATTTGTCATTTGTGAATTTTTGAATGACAGCCATTCTGACTGGTGTGAGGTGATACCTCATTGTAGTTTTGATTTGCATTTCTCTGATAATTAGTGATATTGAGCATTTTTCCATGTGCCTATTGATCATTTGTATTTCTTCCTTGGAGAATTGCTTGTTCAGGTCTTTGCCCATCTTTGGATTGGGTTGTTTGGTTGTCTCTTATTAAGTCGTATGAGCTGCTTATATATTCTGGAGATCAAGCCTTTGTCGGTTTTATTTGCAAAGATTTTCTCCCATTCCGTAGGTTGTCTTTTTGTTTTACTTCTGGTTTCCTTTGCTCTGCAGAAGCTTGTAAGTTTCATTAGGTCCCATTTGTTTATTCTTGCTTTTATTTCTTCTAGGAAAAAATTTTTGAGATGTAGGTCAGATAATGTTTTGCCTATATTTTCCTCTAGGAGGTTTATTGTATCTTGTCTTACATTTAAGTCTTTGATCCATTTTGAGTTGATTTTTGTATATGGTGTAAGGGAGTGTTCTAGCTTCATTGTTTTACATGCTGCTGTCCAGTTTTCCCA